ACTATGTGTTTTGTTGACATAAAGATTTAGTGTGTTCGAAAATGAAACCTATTTTGTGTGGTCTTTGAAAACATTCTTGGATGTATTTTGACTTTTAAAAACTATTTCATGATGTATGTTTTATTTGTTGTCATTGTAAAATGTTGTCTTTTCTTTGTGATATTGAAGAAGTGAGTAAATAGTAAGCAAAAGTTGACGAACAAAAACAGGTGCTCTAAAAAATAGAAACACTTAGTTATAATGATGATGAGAACAAAAATTTTTTGGATTAAAAGAACAAAATCGGTTGATTCGATTGATGTACGTATAAAAAGAGATTTTTATATTGTTTTTTAATAAGTACATTGGTAAATACTTGTTCGAAGATGAAAATTCAAGAGTAGTAAAGTGTTCGATCAAATGAATTTTTACAAATGTTTTTAGAAAATGACAATTATTCATAAAAACTTAATTTACTAATTGTCAACATTTTTACTTTATGAATGACTGATTCATTTTGATGGTCAGGTAATAAAAAAATACTCTGTAATTTTTGTTTCGAAGATTGATAGAAGTTGGAAAATATAATATCGATTTGAACGGCTATTTCCGGGTAGGTTAATGTAAAGCAAGAACATTCAAGTAATTAACGTTTTCTTGCGAAGTTTTTCGTAATTATTTACATTTTTTTTATCAGTTAACAGAACTCATTGATCTGAAAACAAAAGCGCTTTGATCTGCAAAATTGATCTGACAAAAAAAAATTCAGTAGTAGTACACACTCGATAAGTTTTCTTGTTTCATCCGAAGTTGATGAATAGGCTGTTTTTTATGAGACAAGCTTTTTAGTTTGATTATATATGCTTTCACTATATTCTGTGAACTTCAGCAGGTTTTTTTGTCGTTCTTAGATGTAGACTATATAAGAAAAAAAATGACTAAAAATTGTACAGTAGAACATGTACAACATGAAAAAATTTAAGCAAATATACGTTTTTTCAATAAATAACAGGATCCAAAATTTTAGACAAAGTCATATGATATTAGATAGAGTTACGTTTTTTTTTGTACAGTAGCACTTTTCAAATGACATCCTATTATACATCATTGGCAAAAGTTACCCTGGTAAGTGTCGTCTAAATGACACTCTCATTCATGCTAAATTGACAGAGTTAAAGAGATGAAGATGAACGGATTACAAAACACTCATTGCTCGTCGATGCACAAGTAGTACATCGAATTTTTCATGCGTCTATCAGAGAATTGAGGCAGAAATGTCAAGTTTTTACTAATAGTTTTTTGTACAATGTGTATAATCACATAGAGACCAGTAATAATCAGTCGACTAATAAACAAAATGAAAAAAAAATAGATATTATTTCTAGGACTATTTCTACTGTGCTGTAAGTAGCATAGGAACAAAGTCAAATTAGGATTTATAAGTTGAAAGTATTCTCATAACTTCGATGCTAATTTTGCTTATGCACGATATGGATATTAATAGTTGTTGCATGTGTTCGAGATTATGTGTTATAAAATAATATTTCTCTTGTTTTTTATATTTCGTTGATACCTATTAGATACGCTCAATACTTATTTGTTTATCTTTACACTAGTACAAGAAGTTGTGTTAAAGATATTAATTAGTTTTCTTATTTTCTTCCGAAATCACTAATATCTCATCTGTACTAAACAAGTTTAGTCCAAAAAAAAGAAAACGAACTAATCAATCTATCATAGTAAACCATTTTCATAGTTAGAAATAAAAGAATGTCATTATCTGGACAATGTCCAGCTGTGAAACGTCACACACAATTTCTTTAGTTATTATATATCAGTAAGTGTGAAAAAAACAGATAGAATTCTACCATTAAAATAACAGTCAAAAATTGTAGTAATAGACAAGTACATCATACTAGCAATTTATTATACATAAAATAGTATGCAAACTTTGTAATATTTTTTTTTTACTCTGAAGAAGATAGCCATAGGCAGAAAAGAAAAGTAAATGTAATCTTCTTTAATCATCCGTTTGATTATAATGATACATGACAAAAAGAGTGAAGTTCTTTATTTATTAAAATATGAAGGACAACATCATTTGTTCTATCTCTTTGTTCTATTATTGACCTTTTTTATTATGTGTTTTCTCTATAATACTAATTTCATTTTCGCTATGTAAAAAAAAAAAAAGATAATTTTTTTTTTCTTCCATCGGTCATCAGTTACGTGTGATGTCTTCTGATTGTTACATGTGAGAAGAGATTTTCAAAAAAAAAAACGAGGAAAAGGGGAAGTAATATATATGTAGAGAGAGAGAGATGTGTTTATGTGTACAATACTCGTACGTACGAAGTTGAACAACTCAAGTCTTTTTAGCCCTTGAATGGAAGAGAGAAAAATAGGTGAAGAAGAAGAAGAGAAACGGAACGTCGAAGATGGACACACTAGATCTCTCTTTCCTATTCTTATTCTACGACGGGCGTGTGTGCAAGTCATATTTATATCTTAGATGTGAAAGAAAAGAGAATAAGAATAATGTTTCATGTATAGTTGTAAAAAGTTTGTAATTATTAATTAATTAATAGTCTAGATTTTCGAAATGGCTACATCACAATTTCAACAATACAAAACATTTGAAATAACAACTCCACGACGATTAGTATGTATCATCGATATTCTTGAAATTAAACACACAACAACTCTCTCTATTGTTATTATCTGTATTTTAAAATCTATCACAATGTTAAATAAATAAGTTAGCATAGATTTTCTAGACTTTTATTAAGAGTTTAATAGTTACCATCTATTTCTTTAAGAATTACCGTGAAAATATATTTCATTTCAAACATCAGGTGTATGGATGCAAGTATAATCAGTTTAGAAGAGCCGACTGTCAGTCGTGTGGGTGTTTTTTAAGAATATAACGTAATAGGAGAAATTTAGAATATTAGAACAAGATGCACGAATTCACAGTAGATTAATCTATTTTGAAAAATATTTTTTGTGTAAATAATAATCATTTCACAAAGAGAAAAGACTCAAGATAGAGAGATATATGAAACGTAGGTTCAGATACCTTGACGAAAAATTTCAATTACCTTTTATATCAGCCTTGAATCACATACAGAAGGACAATAGACAGACGATGTTCAATCTTAACGAATAATCACTATTTTTGAAGAGTCGATTGAGCTTTGTATGTTAATTTCAAGTGGCAAATTGTGTATGCAGTATAAGAGAGAAAACAAATATATGTTTAATTGAATATAAACAAAGATTAATTTTGCGAGAGATGAGATTTCTATTTTTCAATTAATTTTGTCGTTGTTGATTGTTATAAAACTAAATGAAGTGAAAAATTCTTCGCTCATTGAATCTTGTTTATGAAACATCAATCATGATGATCTATGTTTACATATCTACGCCTATGTCATCATTAGGATTCGGTCAGTATCGATAAAAAAAACAACAGTTATGTGTTCAACATAAGATGACAGACATATGCACACAAACATGACACTCAACAACATACGGAATAATCAATCTATATGTCTCAACAGTAAAAGATAGCCTAAAAAAAATTGTTATCTGAAAAACAACAATAACAATAGTAGGCATTGTTACGGTAAATAAAACAATAGTATTCATTCACTCTAAAACAAAACTTTATAAACAGAATATATGAATGCCTTGTTGTACGAAATAAATAATTTTATCAAATTTGTTTAAAGGGAATTAGTCTCTGTAATTAGAGAATGAACTCATTTATTACACATTCTTGTGTGAGTTTTGATCATATCGACATTCTTAGTAGTTCTGATATACTTCTGCAGTATGAAAAAAAAAGACTTTTAACTGATATATGCACAACTTCAATCGTTGTACAGAATATAGATACAGAACGGTGAATTTAGTTTTGTAGTTTACTACAAAGCTAAGTTCACATGTTCGAATCTCTATTCGTACAAAAATTGATTTTGTGTTTTTCGATAGTTTTAGTTTAGAATACTATAATGGAATATTCTTCCGCTTGTATTCTGACAGAATAAAGCTTATATAAAAAAACAACAACTGATATATCGTTCCCTATTTATTATAGCGTCGTGGCGAACCCTATTTACGCACAACAACTCCGTCTGCAAGTCCCTCTTCATCGACTACAACTCCCGTTAAAACTACAACAGTCACTCCTACTCATCAATCCTCTACAACAAATAGCAGTGTCACCGATTCATCACAATCGTTAACATCACCGACAAGTACTCCATCATCACTGAATGGTAGTTTAGCTCCATCAACTGCACCTCCTCCTCCACCTCCTCCACCTTTACCACCCTTGTTACATGTAACAAACGGCTCTTCACGTCCATCTCAAGATTCGACTAGTCAATCAGCCGCTCTTCACAGTTCACTCTCCCATACAATAACATCAAATGGTGATTACAGATCTACATTGTATCCCTCAATTAATAATCAAAATGGTCTCTTATCATCCACTCCGATTCCCCCTCCACCACCTGCTTATTCATCCAATTCGACTCTATCGAGATTAGTCCAACATCGAGATGAACCAAGAAGAAAAGAGTCCGAGAGTTCGAGTTCAACGACGAATACGAAAACAGCAGTTCATGATCAACAACAACTTCAACCACAACAAAGAATTCGAGAAATTAGTAGCAATGTTGGATTTGTAAGTGCTGAATATATCTTTATTTTATTTATTCTAGATGTTCAATCTGTTCTTTTTTTCTTCTCCCAGGTATCATTGCCGGATCAAGTACACCGTCGTGCTGTTAAACGGGGATTTGAATTTAATCTTATGGTTGTTGGTAAGTCAAGCAGTAAATACGAACAGTTAGGTCATTGTATCGAAAAGGTTATACATGTTTATAAATAATGTCGTGATTAGATTCAGATGTGATGAATATATATAAATCTATCGAGGAATGATGCCCTTTGTGTAGAAAAGAAAGAAATTTAATGCTTTTACTATCTGAATTTTTTATCTCGATCTCTACGACTGTGCATGCTTCTCTACAATTTATTATAAAATATATATGCCTATTTGAACAATGCATACATATATCACTTAATATGATACTATCATAGTATGTCTAAATGACGGAAAAATAATTTTCTATAATAGATTGTTTGGAATAAAGACATACACCTAATTCTGTGATATATATCGTACAAGGTTACTGCTTAAGTTTGATAAATACTGATCAACATTTTTTTGAAGTTAAACAAATAAATAAGAAAAGATGATATTTCCTCATTAAAGTCTATCTAGAGTATAATGATTTGCATTATATTAAAGTAGAACTTAATTTGATGTTCAGCTTTTTTTTTCGCAGTATTCTATGACATACAAGTGTGCCTTTTGTCTTATTTAGGTCAATCCGGTTTAGGTAAATCAACATTTATTAATACATTGTTTCAAACTGAATTATATGGACAAGATTTTCCATCTACTGTTCATCGTAAAAAGAAGACCGTATCGATCGATTCATCAAGTATTATTCTGAAAGAAAAAGGTGTTCAATTACGTCTAACAATTGTTGATACACCTGGATTTGGAGATGCTGTTGATAATAGTAATTGGTATATAAATTAAATACGCACACCGCATACATACATAACTCTAATTTTATCTTAAACTTGATGTTTTAATTTAGTTGGCAGCCAATATTGGATTATATTGATTCGAAATATGAAGAATTTTTAAATGCTGAATCACGAGTCATTCGTCGACAAGCATCCGATAATAGAGTACATTGTTGTTTATATTTCATCTCACCAACAGGACATAGGTAAAAATCGACAAATAAACATTTGCTCATCCTTCAATTGTACTCACCTTGTCTGTTTCAGTCTTCAACCGCTTGATATTGAATTTATGAAACGTTTACATGATCGTGTTAATATCATTCCCGTTATAGCCAAAGCTGATACTCTAACATCTGATGAATTGAGAATATTTAAAAAATCAATATTACAAGATATTCATAATGAAAAAGTGAAATTATATGAATTTCCAGATTGTGATGATGATGAAGAAAATAAATTAACAAAAACATATAAAGTGAGTTTAAATTTTTATAAAGTAAGTAGATATTTATATATATTTTTTATTTATAGGAAAAAGTTCCATTTGCTGTTGTCGGTAGTAATATTGTATTGGAACGAGCAAATAAACGAGCGAGAGTTAGACAATATGCGTGGGGAATTGTCGACGGTGAGTTATAAAAATGATAACTGATATTTCATGTTTTATCTCGTTTATTCTACTCATTGTAGTGGAAGATGAAGCTCACAGTGATTTTATTGCATTGAGAAGTATGCTTATCCGGTAAGTTATTTCTGTGTTATTTACAAATCTAGTTACATATCTTCATATGTTTTTGTAGAACAAATTTAATTGATTTACGTGATGTCACTCATAATATTCACTATGAAAACTATCGTTATAAGAAATTAAGTCATTCAACGAGTAGTGGTACGACGGGTACAGATTCAACTAAAGCCGGATCAAATAAATCATTACAATCAAACAAGTATGTTCAATATGCAGTATCATTTGTTAAACTCTTAAAATTATTTCTTTTTCTTTTTTTATAGAAATTTTTTTTCACAATTAGAAGATGAACGTGCTGAAACTGAATTACGTTTAGAAAAAATGAGTCGTGATATGGAAGCCGTTTATCAATCAAAAGTAACAGAAAAATTACAAAAATTAGAAGAAAGTAAACAAAATGTAAGTTCATCTCATTTTACTTAATTCTTCGTATATGAAGTAACGTGTATTTAACTATAGGTTTTGAAAACTCAAGAATCATATCGTCAAAGTTTACAACAAGAAGATGAACGTTTAAGTTCGAAACGAGAAGAATTTGAAAAACATCGACGAGAATGGGATGAAAGTTCAAAAGTATTTGAATCAAGTGGATCATTAACGTAAGTCTAAGAAAGAATTTTTAAAGAAAAACCTTGTCCATTTATAATATGTATTATTAGAAATGCGATATTTATTTATTTTAGAAAAGCCAAAAAGGGTTTATTTTAATCTACTGATCTTATTCTACGAGTGTGAGAACTTTTAGTCTCGAATATTTGTTATGTGTGTGTGCGTGTGTGTGTGTGCTTATTACATCGAACGATTTTCTCTTTATTATTTTCGTGTTATTATATCTTGTATACTTATCGTTTTTCTTGTTGCATATAAAAAAACTTCGTTTTTTTCGTTGTCTTTTGCTATTTATTTTGCTTTAGAAAATACAAACGAAAATTATCTAGTTTATAATCTGTTTTTTTTTACCTTCTCTATGAAAATTCGGATCTGTTGTTATTGCTTATAGTAAAAAAAATTTTCACTCAAAATAACAACAACATACAACAGTTTTGTCTCACTTTTTTTTGTTTGTTTGTTTTACTACTTTATTCGAATATATAAATTCGAATTTTTTTGAATAAGGAGAATAACGAAATAAACAACGACTAAAGTCTATTTCTATTTTATAACAGTATACTGACCTGACCAGTAACAGAAGATTTATGATGTGTTTCAATCTAATGTACAGATGATTCTAGCGAAGAATACGTAGAAAATGTGTGGTTATACATTTGAAATATGCATTAGATGCAGATGTCTATGTCCAGCAACAGAGTGGTCGCTTTGCTCCGTAATGACAAAGTAATGAAATGTTTTTGTTACCATCGGCCTCTGAAGTCAAGAACATTTAGAGGCATTTAAAGACATATGACTAGGAGAAGACCACATTTATGCGATCTTGAACATGAGAAAAGTCGTGCGGATTAAAAGAGGAAAGAAGAACAATTAAAAAAACATCAGGGGGTCGTATCACGAAAAAAGTCTAAGTTTAACACCGACTTAAGTCCGGGGACTTAAACCGTATTACGAAAAGACTTATGTTAGTGATTTGTTTACTTTTTGAAAGTCGTTGACAACAGTGGCAAACTTGAGACAAAAACCCGCAAAATAACGAAATATTTATTCTCTAAACCTTAGAAAGTCGTTTTCGTCGAATCAAATCGTTAAATGCCTGAGCAATTCCAAAAATGTATCGATGATTTAAGTCTGACTCAAGTTTTCGGTCCTAACTTTAAGACTACATTTTCCATGACTTTCACCCTATGACTTAAGTTTTTTTGTAATACGGTGAAATTTAAGTCCAAAGACTTAAACGGAGCTTAGTAACGGAGACTTAAGTGCAAATTTTGACTTAAGTCAGACTTAAGTTTTTTTGTGATACGGTCCCCAGCAGGAGACATTTTACAATTAGCCCTAGTGAGTGTACTTGATGTCAAGTACACTTTACTACTAGCAAATTTTCTAAAGTACTTGGTTAAGCACTTGTCAAGCATTTTTAGATTTAATACGTGCCAAGTACTTGGAAGAACTTCGAATACTTGCATGTATTTCGCAAGTACTTACCAGGTTACCTGACAAATACTTCGTCAATAGTTATACCTCATACAGTACAATATCGGCATCCAACTAGACAAGATATACCAAAATTACCAACGTTAAGTAATCAACGTCCATTAGCTGACTGTTTGTCAGAGGACGGGGCTGCGTGGAAGCACTCGACAGACCAGTTAGTGAAAATATGTGTCGATTGATCAATATAAATTATGAAATGAAAATTATGACTGCTGCATTCGAAAACGAATTTTTATGTATCAATTGTCATGTTTTTAAAAAACTGGTCGATTTTTTTTCTTCTGAAAAGGATCAGCTAGTCAAAGTTTTCCAGCAGATATGTTAATAAACGAAGATGGGAAAGAGAATCAGTAGCGTAACTAGGACCTTTTGACTACTGGACCAACTCCATTAGTTCGAAAAAAACGATTGGGCCACACTATGATAATCCGAGAAGAGACTAGGTCAAAAAGTCTTTTTTCAAATTTTCAGCTGGGGAAATCATTAAGTTCAAAATCTTATTGGGTCGAGGCTCAAATCGCATTCGGCTATGGCTCAGTGCACGCCCCTCCATACATACCCCGTGTGCATTCAGAGCAGGCGGACATGTCATTTTTATTGTCGGGAATCTTCTCTTTTTGCATAAAAATGCCTTTCGAGCACCCAGAACTCAAATCAATCAAAAACAAACAAATTCCAAAAAAATGTTTCTTCAACCGAAACACCTGAGGTCCCTTTGTCCAAACATTTCATCGAAAAGTTTTTTCCTCGAAAATTAGACATTTTATATACTATTCGATGCAATTTAATGCACTGATTTCAAATGTTTTTGTTAATTGTTGTGGAATAAGACCTTTTCTGGACCGAAAAAAATGGAAAATACCTGGAAAATCCATATTTAAGTCCAGGAACGTTTTATGCTAATTTGTGCTAGCTATGTTGATACAGGCTATATAAATCGATACGTAGACAAAGGTAGAGCGACTTTTAATCATGACTAAGGATGGCGCGTTCACTTTACTAAACTTAGCCGTTCGAAAAAACACCAGAACAGTTTCGCTTTATTTTCTTAACATTTATGAGCTCAAATTTAAAATTTTTTACTAATCGATAGAGGACACTGAGTCAGCTCCAAATGTGAGCTGTTTTTGCCTACTCATCGGCTGGATTTTACGCAAAAAATTAACTTTTTTAACGATAGGCGTGTTTTCACGATTATTTTTGATTAGCGGGCTTTCCACTCTACTTGGGATTAGTTTACTTTATTTTAACATATTTTGTGCAGTTTAAGTTGCTCTGTCAAAAATATGACTTTCTCACACTCGAAAAAAATTACTTTTTATTTTTAAAAAGGTTAAGTTTTTATTTAAAATCAAAATTTGAAAAAGACTTTTTTTCCCACAATTCTAGTTAGAAACCAAAGACCAAACATATCTAAGTTTAGGTCATTAAGTTTCAGAAAGTTGAGGTAAAAAATGAGCTCAGATAATGAAGAAAGTCAAGAATAACCAAAAAAACGAGCCCAAAATCCCAGCAAAATATGACCTTTTGTTTTGTATCATCAGCAGCCTACAATTTAAACAATAATTTCTTCAGGTGACAGTTTGAAAGAGCACATCTCCCTACATATTTTTGAAAAGTTGTTGAATAAGAAGCTTTTTCTAAAGTGCCTAAAAAAGTTTAATTTTGTTGAAAATAGTCTTCATTTTAAAATTTAAATTTCGGCTAGCATAAAACATAAACAAACATTTTTACCATTCGATAGCCAATTTAATTCTCTACAGCCGAAATAAGATTGTTTTTCTCAAACAAGATTAAGATTGTTTTTCTCAAATTTTTATAGTGATAATGCCAATGTCTATTCAAGTGGACATTGGGCCTTAAAACGTTAAAATGGACTAGAAATGCAAGAAATTATAAAAATAATTTGATAAAATGTGCTAGAGCTCCGTATGGACTGGACCAGAAAAGTTTTTTCACTTGAATCGAGAAAAAATCAGTAAAAAACAGGTTGTTTTTTTGTATTATGGACTGAACTGGACTACTTCTTTTAGAGTTCATGCATTGGAAAACTGTTTTTCATGAATTTGGATCGGACTGAACTAGATTCAGAACTCTGAGTCTATACGGCGCTCTGCTATATACCTATGCTATAAGAATATGCTCATCAAATGAGCTATTTGAAAAAGAATTAGATTATTATAGATGCATTTTTCACACAAATGGCTATTCGCTGGATATCGTAAAGAAGATGACACGTGGAATAAGATTAAACAAGAGTGTACACGAATCTATTTATCCTAATCTAAAACGATTACTATACAAGGAATGCTCACTAATTCTAGCAAATGAATTGAAAAAACTTCTCCATCAGCCTAATGAAACTGGTGACATTCAGTTTTAAAGCGAGTCAGACTCTTCCTTCACTATTCGGACGAACATTTAGAAAAATGATCAGTGATAATAGAGTAGTGTATTAGTATGATTGATATGGATGTTCTAACAGTTATATCGAGAAGACGACGAGAAGAGAGAAGAGAAAAGAAGAACATCAGCAAACATTTTATGGACAAGGTTTCTCAAGGACTGCTATTCATGGTGAGCGGGTGAACATAAAACTAATGAAAGTACAGAAATACTCGTCATGCAATCTCATAAATTAAAGAGAGAGCTAAAAGAGAGAGAGTCTGCTGATGGACATTTATAGTAAAAAGAGAGTATGAACCATATATTCTCAAAAGACTTTTATGTTGAATGATTTTTGAGGATGAATCATATCGAAAAATGCTACGATGTTAAGTATAATGAGTTTACCTTTTATCGATTTCATCTAACCTAGCTCAAATCTACACTGTCGATAGTAAATAACGGTTCTTTCTAAATAATCCAAAATAAAGTTTTCTTTACAAGGTAGTATTTGATAAAAAAAGTTAAAAAATTTTTAAATATAGGTAAATTCAATAAAATTTTTATCCATTGACAGAGCACCTTAAACTGCACAATATCTTAAAATAAAGTTTAACTGATGGAGGGTTTGATGAACGGATTTCTAGAAAACTCTTGGTTTTCTAAGAACTTTTCATGGATTTTTTCGTTCTAATTAGATAAAAATATGTTTTAAACACTTATTGATCTTATTTTTTCGATGATTGTCAAAGATTTATTGTTAATTATGTTTGTGTCACGTCTTATAAAAATTAAGAAAATAAAAAGTAAATTGACGTGGTTGGGTCTCGTATTTGAGAAGCATCAACGACTGTATAAATCATTGAAAACATTTGTTCGGTTCTTCCGTTGTGCTAAGATAGGATAGAGTGCCTTTGGTAGAAGGGATAAAAGATGAAAAGTAGAGGAAGAATGACAAAAATGGATGTACTTTACTTTAGTTTCTATAAATAAAGAGTGTTTAGGTGAGTTTCTAACTAAACTCCAAATGAGTTTAAACGCGGTTTAGATGCAAATAAGATTAAACGTGTTTATATTTTCGTCGAAAAAGAACATGTTTGTAAGAGATGCTTTAATAGTATGAGTAGTGTATATTTATGCATGAATGCGTACGACCTGTCTTGATAACCGTAATAACATACTTTGTTTATCGTAACGTTGTCTAAACATGCATGCTTTTGACTATAGCTACTTTTTTTGTACTGACATTTATCTACAGGTACAGGATTTTTAGTACTAATAACTTTTAGCATATTAGTTAGAAACTTCATAACAGTTAATTAATAAGAGTCATTTTGAATTGATTGTATTAGCGTCCATGATTTGGTAAAAATTTTTTTATTAACGATTCAATGCTTTAAAATATACCAGTTTATACATTAATCATACACGTTAACTGAGAATATTTTGAGTGGACAGTATATACTTTCTGTCAAATATCAACGAAGAAAATGTCGTGGACTTTAAAAAACGAGACAAACATTAGATTTCCGCTTTTTTTTCTTTTCTTCTTTTTATCGAAATAATGGTTTGATATCTTATGCCGGCTTCAAAACAACGGAACTAATAATACATAAAAATAAATAACAATCTATATTTATTAGTTTTACTCTTTTTTACTTACTTTTCGTACAACGGATATACGGTTAATAGTGAGAGGTAAGATAAAGGTTTCTAATCCTGGTATCACTTGCAGTTGTGAAAATTTATTATCTTTTAGAATTGTTCAGCAGTTCCTTATTTCACGGCCTGGCCAGCTAACTCTACCTGCGTACGTAATTCCGTGACGTTTTTCTATGATTTTGTTTTATTTGCAGAAATTTTTGAAAAAGTCAGAACTCAAAAGTAAATAAACCATTTTGTAGACAAT